TTATAGAGCCTTTGTGAGGATTAAATGAAATGGTGCATGCAGAGTACTTAGAACTTGTGGTAAGTTAGCCTATGATGCATGTTACTTTTGTAAAGTGCATTTTCATATTGAGGTTCTTATTATATGAGACAAGTCACAGCTAAAAGCTGAGGTCTTGCCAATATTGGAAGTTCTTGACTGAGGGTTCTGCTTTCAGTTCTGTAATGACAAGAAGCTTCTGTCAGCCTGGTGTCAGCCTGGCAAAGTAAAGAGAGCATGGACTTTGGTAGTGGACAGGGCTGAGCTGCCATCTTAGGTTAGCCAGTCAGTGGCTGTGTTGCCTTTAGCAAATTGCTTAATCTCTCTAAATTCTATTTCATAATCTGTAAAACAAGAGTAATCATAGCCCCCATTATGTAACAAGGTTATAATAAAGATTTAGTGATAACATGTATGTTAATGGTTCTCAACCTTGGCCTCCTATTAGAATCCATTGGAGAACTTTATTAAAACAAATAATATCTCAGTGGCCAGGCCCCAGCCCAGAATTACGTAATCGGAGTCTCTGATGAACTGCAGACAGCAGCATAGTCTCAAGTTCCACAGGTGATTCCAAGGTTCAGGTAGGGTCAGGAACTTAGGATATTCTTCAGGATTGTGGCCCAACGAACCTTACTCTAATAGCTAAAGTGTGTACCCATAGTTCCTCCTATTCCTCCTCTTTCCATTCATGGCGTCCACCAAATGCTCTCCAGTCGACAGAAACCGAGGTGAAGCCTGGCAGCTCCCTGACTCCTCCTGACAGTTTGGATCCCCACAGCTGTACATCAGGACTCAGTCCCTCAGCCTCCACTCCCACCCTGTGCTCTGGCACCTGCTGACCTAGGGTTCAGAGTTGGACCAGCTCCGCCTCACACTGGATCCTACCCTCTTTGGCCTGTGCTGGGCAGTGGGCCCCACTCTGGTTCCTGGGGCCCTGAACCAACTCTAAGTCTGAGTCTTGCCTGAAGAACCTTCCCATGTCAGAGGCATGCAACACTGCTGGCTCTGCAGGCAGAGGACAAGGTCAGGGGCCAAGGAATAGGAGTGGCCTCTGAAAGCTGAAAGGGACAAGGAAGCGGCTTCTCTGGCTGAGCCTCTGGCAGAGCACAGAGCCCTACCACACTTGCCACACTTTGATTTTAGCCCAGTGACATTGGGTTGACCTTTGACCTCCAGAGCTGTAAGATAATACATTTGTGCTTTAAGGAGCTGTGTTTGTCGAAAATTGTGAGAGCGGCAACAGAACCTGCAACCCAGGCATGTGTCCTGACTGGGAACCAAAATCTGTGACCTGTCGGTTATGGGATAATGCTCCAACCAACTGAGCCATACCAGCCAGGGCAGTTGTGCTTTTTTGAAAACTTCAATCTTTGACTCAAAACTCTCTTCCCCTTTGCCTCAGTGCAGGGAGTGGTTAGGGGGGTGGGGCTGCCTCAGCTCCCTCAGCACCCCTCCCCTGCACCTTCTTCTCTGGTATTGGATAGAGGAGGAAAAACCAGGACAAACACTTCTCCACAGAAGTCTCCCATCAGTGGGCCATTCCTGCTGAGCTAGATTGCAGTGTTGAGTAAAGGACTCTGGCCCTTGGCCCTCGAGAGTTTTCTTGTGGACCTTTGAGAGACCCGGTTGCATCACTGAGCTGACCGCCAGCATCCTCTCAGGCAAACACTTCCTTGCCCCATGTTCCAGTAGCTCTCAGCGATCCTGCACCCCACAGTTGTACCTACTGCAGGCCTGCCGACACGGATGGGATTCAGCTCACACCGCTTTCCAGGGTGTGGACTTGACCATGTAGTCACTGCATGCTGCCCACTGACCGGACTCCCCACCGTCGCTCCCCAGAGTGCCTCTCACCTCTCTGGTGGCACCCTGGCCATTGAACTGTCCTGGTGGAGGACATGCTACTGGGAATCGGATGTGATTCTCTTTGGGCCCCTTCTCTCTCTCTGTTGCACTCTCCCAAAAAGACAAGCTCTGCTTGGTTCTGTTGAAAGGTATCTCAGCGGTCCATGGGGAAGAGGGCTATTTCTCTGGCCTTAGAATGGGGGGATCTTGAGATGCTTATTGTCAACTATGGTCCCTGATCATTCATTCTGGAGAATCCCTTGGCTCCTCATGCTACATGCCAGGACCACAGTGAGGCCTCTTTTGCACTTGATCTTAGCCAAAAGGCTGAGAAGGGATGAGATGCTCCTTTTGAAGTAAGGTGTCCTGCATCCTGTTTGGCTTTTCATTGATGACTTGGGAGCATCATGACTAATATCAACAGAGGAAGTCTCTGTAACATGGGAAGCATCTGCCCTCCTTCTCACCTGGCTGACCTTGGGCAAGTCATTTGACCTCAGTTTCAGCTCGGCTGTGGTTGAAAGAAGTGTGGTAGTGCGGATGAGCTGAGGGGAGAGATAAGAAAGCCCTTGTGGACTGCTTGGGCACTGAACATACTCAAAACATCTGATGGAAAATCAGATTCACTCAATCTCTAAGAACACAACTACAAAATATTTATCACTCCACATCGTTCTGAAAAGTGACTCATAGTTTCACTTTCTGACATAATTTCTTTGAATTTGAAATCTGAGCTATGGTTTTTCGTGGAAGTTAGACTATATATGGTTGGTTGACTCTTTTTCAATTTTATCAAACTAAATGTAAATAGTTTAAAAATATCAAGTAATCCAGAAGGTTTACGGCGGAAAGTTACAGCAGCCTCCCACTTCCCTCCTTCCACCCAGTCACGCTCCTTGGATGCACCGGCTTTTAACCCTCGTGTCCCAGTATTTGCTTCCATTGCTCTAAAGGAGGTGTTCATGTTGCTTTGTGGAGAAGTCCTTCAAGAGTAAGACAAAAAGACAAAGAGATAAAAAGTAGGAGAGAAACATTAGATAAAGAGACACACATTTGAATGAGAAAAAAAAGAGAAATGATGGGAAGAAATTCTATTTATTGACCTATCTGGTTCACCAGAGCTAAGAAGGTGAAAGTCCAAAAATAATTTTTTAAACTAGGAATTAAAAGGACATTTTTAAAATGTCAGATTCCAATTTAGGTTTACTGAACAAAGAGGCTGCCCTCTGCTATGTGGTGGCACTTAAGTCCAGTGCCCTTTGACCTCATGGGTCCCTGCAAAACCCACTTTCATAACCCCCATTGAAAGCCAAGCTTCTCATCTCCATGGCTTCCTTTCCCCTTTGTTCTTCTTCCTCCCATTACTTTTTTGTGTGCATCCTAAAAGGGTGACCTACAACAAAACCTCTGCCTACCACCTGCCTGGGCGATGAGATATCCTTCATCTCTGGTCGTTGGCACTTTGCTCTCTTTAAATAAATCCTCAGCACATTTTCCAACATGAGTAAATAACAAAAACAATGTTGAGCAAAAAAGACAGCTGCAGAATGATGAGCACAGAACAGTGTTGGTTATACATGGTGGGTTCTGCCCCATACAACTTTATTAATAGACAAAGCATTATATTTGATTAAGCCAAACCTTCACTAAGGAAACAGAATTTGGAACTGAAAATCCAAATTGTAATATGATTACTTAATAAATAAAGACACTGTGTCAGTAATGTACACTTTTAAACAGTCAGGTTAGGAGGTCTTTGTAGTAATACTGGCCTTAGCTGACTTTGCCCCTGTTCCTCTGTCACCTGCCTGGGCTCCTGTTGACATTGTTGATATTACTCAAAAGCATGAATCAGAAAGGGCACTGCATCAACACGCATGGGCTAAATGATGACACAGGAAGCTGATTCTCACATAACCAGGATATTCCAGGATCTCTCCCAGGCCTCAAGGACCATTTTTACTTTAATATCCAAGGGTATTCACAGAGTACCCATTCCGTGAGTGAGGGGAACCCAGAACCTCCCCAGGTCCCTCTGAATTCCTGAAGCCTGTCCCCCAATGTCACTTGGAGCTTGGCAGCTGCTCTTCTCTCTGCTTGTCCCTATGCCACCCCTGGCTTGGACAACTACTGCACACATGTCATTTTTCTACAGGTTCTCTTCACAAAAGCTGTTGTTGTGCCATTTAATTGAAGATTTGATGGGAACAGAAGATGACAACAGTTTATGGGTGAATGTTGGACACAACTGTCCTACAAAGGCACTGGTCACTTTGCACCACGGAGTCTTTCTAATGATGCCCTGACTTTGTGTTATCTTCTTTGTTTTTATCTCCCCCCAACTCTATTTACATGTAATTGACCTATCACACTGTGACAAATCACACTGTTGGTTTGACACAGTTCTGTATTGTAAAATGGCTACCAACATTGCATTAGCTAACGCCCCCATCACATCACATAATTACAATTTCTTTTTTGTGGGGAGAACATTTAACACTTACTCTCTTCTGGGCCTTGCCTTCTGCTACTACTCTCTTCCCAGGCTTTCCTGCTCTCTAGTCAGCCCACCCTCAGCCCCCAAATTTCTGTTACTTTCTCATGCAGACTAACTCAGTGTGCTTTGCATCTTCACCTTCCCCCTTCTAACCATGCTTCACTCAAAAACACCCATCAAGGTATTTTTCTAGCCCTCATCTCAAAAGAACCTCTCAGAATTCTGTCTCTGCATTATGAATTAAGCCTATATTGCCTGTTTGATATAAAAGCAACTGCAGTCAGTTTCGCTTTAATGGCATTTCCCCTCCTACTGCATGTTTGACAATATAAGAAAGAGCAGTGATTACCTCTGTCATTTCTAGAGTACCTAGTCCATTCATAGCTTACCCTCACAAATCCCCTGTGAAGTCATAGGTGGTGTCACTCCCATATTGCCGACAAGACACCGAGGCTCAGAGTAGGTTAAGTGGTTTGCCTGCCACTTCCCAGCTGCTGACTGGCAGGATTTGACAGCGAACCAGTGCCTGCCTGACCCCTGAGCAGATGTATCCTCACACAACACGGAAGGTAACCATCCCTGCCACCCCAGGATGCCTTTCACTCATGCCTCATTCCTCTCTCTCCATTCTCCTCAGGAATCCACTGCAATGGATTGGTGGAAAGACAATTTCTGGATCATCTTAGCTGTGGCCATCATCATAGTCTCTTTGGTCCTGGGCCTCATCATGTGCTGTGTCTATAGGTGGCTGTTCAGACGAGGTAATAGCCATCTCACCTAGGCAGGTGGAGGGCTGGTTATCAGTGCATTAGGGCTCCTTTAGAGCAAGAAGATTAGTTCTGGGCCTGTATGGGCTGAACTTTGGACTAAGCATCATGCTCTCTGGGTTTCAGTTCGAGCCCTGGCACTAACTTGTATCCTGAGCCTCAGTTTCCCCATCCACATAGTGAAGGGAGGGAGGTTAACTGAAGTCCAAGAGCTCTTGCAGCCCAAAGGGCTTGGGTGAAAGCAGAGTCTCTTCCAAGGCGCACTGTGCTCCAGTGCTTTTTCTCTTTATTGTGGCTGCTGATCACAGCATCCTATGTCTGAGACTTGGAATAGAGCACGAGTCTGTGTAATGTCAAAAGCTGTCTTAGTTCCAAACCCATCAAGTTGTATACATTAAATGTGTACAGCTTTTTATATGCTGGTCATACCTCAATAAGTAGCTTTTAAAAATGTCCTGAAGCATGAAGAGTAGACTCAATCTACGATCAACCTGTTTGTCCACCATGCTCACCTCCTCTAAGATCATACTCTGAATTCTGGTATTACCCACCTTGGCCAGAGCTTCTTGGCAACCTCAGACATAAATAAGCAGCTATCTGGAGATTAACGCTAGCTTTAGATTATCTACAAGAGGGTTCTCCATTTTGATATTCCTCTCCAGAGGCATGCAATCTGTATTTCAGTAGTGTGTTTTCTTGAGATCTTACCACTTTACGTAATGACCTAGACCTGGATTACCCCTGGGAATGCTAAATACATGGAGAGGTACAGCCATGTCCCCTGGGCCTCCCTGGGAGCCACCCCACCATAATCAAGTCACTGCCACATCTGGACACAGCCTCAGAATCTGGCTAAGCCAGTGCTAGAGTGTCAGGGTTGCATAAGAATGAAATCTTACTATCATTCTTCTCAATCTCTTTTTAGAGATAAGAAAATTAAGATGCAGCAGGAGGTAAAGCCTTGGTTGGGATCTTGTAGGGGTTGGTGGCGGAGTAGGGAGCAGAACCCAGGTCCGTGGAGCTCCCTGTTTAATATTATTTCCTCTCTACCCCTTAATGGTAATCCGTTTTTAAATACAAAATGTGTATTTTGGTCCCTATCCATTTGCCTTCTTAAAATGTCCCATTCTAAGACAAAATCATAACCCTGAACAAAAATATTACCTATTCTTGTATCTTGACCCACTCTTATTAACAAGCTATTTATAACTAATAAGTTATATGCCCAGGACATCATAATTTACAAACCGCTTTTCCCATTCTTTACTTCATTTCCTCCCAAGAACACTTTTGCTTATTCATCTGACCAATCTTTCTGAGGGCCAACTATGTGCCCTGCGTCTACTCGCAATGAGGAGATAAACACGGCCCACGTGCTCCTGCCTTCATGGGGTCAGCAAAAGGCCCAGGCAGCCTGGGTTAAATTCCAGCTCTGCCCATGTTTTGTTCAGTGTCCCTAGATCTGCTTCTTCTTGGTGGTTCTTCCAAAAGTCCTGAACCCACGTGGTTTCTGAGGATTTTTAAACTCTAAAATCACAAGTTTTGTTAATTCTTCCTAAGTCAATATGTTTATTTGTTTCCTTAGGCAAGACATTGGAAATTGCTAAGCCCTTGAAACAGAAACAAAAAGATGAAGAAATGATGTATGAGTAAGTAGGGGAAATCCTTCTGCTTTTTAATTTTGAGAACCGCTGGTTCACTTCCACTCTTGGGCTTCTGCTGCTGTGTGAGCGTGTTACACGCCCGCTTTCCCTTGGCAGCCAGCGAGATGCCATGCCTGTCAACTCTCCCCACTTCAAGGGGAGAGGTCTCAGGGCTGTGGGGGTGCAGGGCGCCATCTGCCTCTGTCTGCTCTCCAAGTGTCCCTCACGTCGTCTACTTTGGTAGAGGTCACAGGTCAGGCCCTGTGCTCTGGGTGCACCACTCGGAGTGAGCCTGGCCCTGCTTTTCTTCAAATGAGTTAAAAGTATAGCCCTCTAAAAGCTATTATGCTGAACAAAGATAATAAGATAATACATCTGCTTTACTTTTGTGTTTTGTGATTGTTAGGTCGGAGTTGCTCAAGAAACCAGACAGACACAGCGAGCTAAGAACAGGGTTTATTAGCAGGGAATAAGAGGGAAAGTGGAACCAACCAAGGGAGATCAGGACTCGTTTGCTTGTTCTTAGGTCAGAGTTTTTAAACACAAAAACCCCTGTGAAGGGTATCAGAGTTTGATTGGCTAGAGCTGGTTGCTGGGTGCAGGCTTGAGTTAAAGCTGCATCCTGTTATGCTGGATAGGCTGACTCCAGACCCTAATCTTCAACTGTTTTTCCTGGGGAGGGTCTCAGGCAGCTTCCCACAGTGCCATTTTCTAGCCTGGTGATTTTCCATTCTTCCTAGGCCTGCCTAAGTCTGTCAGTGATATCTTCGGGGCTTTATGAGTGCTGTCTGTGTTGGGGGTTCCCAAGCCCACCCTTAGGCTAGACGATTCTAGGAGGACTCACAGGACCCAGAAACATTGTTATGTTTATGGTTATGGGCCATTACAGTGCAAGGATACAGACAAAGACCAGCAAAGGAAAAAGACCTATAGGGTGGAGTCCAGGAGAAGCCAGGGTCAAGCTTCCAGGAGTCCTCTCCCAGTGAAATCACACAGACTGCACTTGCTCCTTGCAGCATGAGCTCTGACAGCCTGTGCCCATCCGAGAAGCTCACCTGCACCTTGATTGCTAGGGATTTTACTGAGGATCAGTCACAGAGGCAGGGAGCGCCCGCATGACTACTTTAGCTACTCAGCATCCAGCCCCTCCAGAAGCCAAAGAGATACAGCATGACCTGTGGCCCTAGGCAAACACAAGCAGGCATTCGCCATCAGTCACGTTGTTAGCATAAACTATCTGGCTGGCCCAAGGCCCTGAGTACACAAAGTCACTCTTATCCAGCATCATACTCCAGGTGTTTAGAGGTTATCTCCCAGGAAATAACTTACATCGGAATGTACACACCATCTGAAACAAAATCTATACTTTTCTAAAATGAATTTTGTCAGGGCTAAAGGGATCCAGCAAATAATAGGCCTCTTTCCCACCAGTTCTGATCCAATGAGGAGTATGACAAACGTGCCATGCAGTTAGGTGACCAAAATATCTCCTTTATTGAGAACAAAACCGGCATTGCAGAATGTGGCACCTCTCTGTGGGCAAGTGCATTTCCTAGTTCAAAACCAGGCGAGCTTTCCTGCGCGGTGCACAGGCAGCTCTGGGGAACCTCAGGTCTCCGCCACAGGGCAGCCCTTTCTCTGAGTGGCAAAGACCAGAGCAGAATATATGCTTCCTGCATTCAGGCCTGCTCTGGAGGAGAAAGGAGGAGGAGCTGGACTTGCCCAAATTTAAGAGTCAGATAAATTTCCCTCCTCTCCTAGGAAGAGCCACAGGCAGGTGGAGAAAAAGGTCACTGATAGAGCTCTTGCCACATGTCCCCTCCTCCACTCATGCCCACAACCTAAAAATGCTTATGCTTTCCCAGGGGGATTAACCACTTAAGTGAGACCACAACTCAGAAGAATCTAGTACCAGTTTGAAAATCAGAGTATACAGACGGGAATGGGGGTCTAGGTAAGGAGGCTTGCTTGGAGTCTATCTTTTTGTTGAAACTTCTTAGCAAAAAAAAAAAAAAATGAATACAGAAAAGTGCACACAGTGAGAGTACCAATCAGTGAATTTCCACAAACTAAATAGACCCAGGTAGCTGGCACCCAGATCAAAAACCAAAATTATCAACACCTCAACATCTCATATTCCCTTTCAGTCATTCCACCCCAAGGGTTTTCTTGTTTTTGTGCTTTGTATAAATGGAGCTATACAGTATGTATTATTTGGTGTTCTTGCTCAGCACTTTTGTGAGATTCATTGTGCGTGGTTGTAAATTGTGCACTCTCACTGCTGTAGAGTATTGCACTACAGGGAACTCATCCATTCCACCGCTGATGAGCATTTGAGTAGTGTCCAGTTTCAGGATGTTATGATTAATGCTGCTACGACCATTATAGGACACGTCTTTCAGCAAGCATACGCAAGCATTTTGGTAGGGTGTATACCTAGTAGTGGAACTGCTGTCACATGGTGTGTGTACAGTTAGCTTTGGGAGGACATTAGTGTTGCAAGTCAAAATACAGCTGATGCTTACCTCCCCATCTTCACCAGCCCAGGTGAGGACAGGAGTGGGGGCAGCGCTCCATGCTCTTAGTTACAGCACCTCAACTTCCTTCCCTCAAGTCCAGATGCTCCCAGCTAGTGGAAGTGGTTTCTTTAGAGTACCAGTTACAAATGGGGTGTGATCCCTAGAAAGGGAAGGTAATGCTTCCAGGTCATAGTGACCAAGTCTTGACTATTTGACCCTAGTCACTTTCTTTGATGCTTTCCTTTAAATCCACTGACAAGGAGCATGGTCAAAAGCAAACACCAACTCCTCTTTCTTTCTCTCCAGGAATGTTCTCAATCAATCATCAGTTCAATTACCCCCTCTACCACCCAGGGATTTTCTTTCTCAACAAGATGCCTGTAAGTATATTTTGCTGATAACAGTCTCATTCAGAGTAGGATAACACATTTATCGAGGTGTCTTAGTTGGCTCAGGCTGCCCATAACAAAATATTACAGACAGGATAGCTTGCACAACAGAAATTTATTTTCTCACAGTTCTGGAGGCTAGAAATCCAAGATCACTGTGTCAGCTGATTTGGTTTCTGGTAAGGACTGTCTTCCTGACTTGAAGATGGCTGCCTTCTTACTGTGTGCTCACACGGTGGGGAGTGTTCTCTGGTGTCTCTTTTTATAAGGGCACTAATCCTAGTGGGCCAGAGCTGTAGCCTTATGATCTTATTTAACATCAATTACTTTCTTAGAGGCTCCATCTCTAAATACAGCCACACTGGCAGTTAGGGCTCCAACATTTTGTGGACACAAACATTCAGTCTGTAACACGAGGATTTGTAGATGGTAGCAATCTGATTAAATGAGTTTAAAATGATTAGAATAAGTATCAGTGCTTCCAATATTCAGTTTATAAATTCATATTCAAATTCTGGCTTGAGATATGAGTACAAAGGAACTTCGGGTTGTCACTGGGCCTCTCACACTTGTTATTTTTTATTTTTTATTATTTCTCTTTTATTGATTCTAGAGACAGAGGAAGGGAGGGAGAAAGAGAGGGAAAGAAACATCAGTGTGAGAGAGAAATATTGATTGGTTGCCTCCTGCATGTGCCCTGACTGGGGACCAAACCCTGCAACCCAGGCATGTGCCCTGACCAGGAATTGAACCTGTGACTCATTGGTTTGCAGGACAACACCCAGCCAACTGAGCCACACTGACCAGGGCAAGGGCCTCTCACATTTGTATCTGCCTGGTTCCCTTGACTGGAATGTTGTTCCTTAAGCTCTTCACACAGCTGGCTCTACCTCTTCCTCCAAGTGTTGGTTCACATGTCACCACCCCAAAGAGCCCTTCCCTAACCATTCTGTCTAGAGCAATCTCACTAGTTTTCTTTAGGAAACTTACAGGAATGACCAGAATTGTCTTATCTAGTTATTGTTCATTTATTTATCAACCTCTTCCACGAGAATATAAACTCTAGGAAATAGGAACCTTTCTTGTCTTGTTTACCACTGCTTACCCACCACTAAGAATAATGTCTGGAGTTTAGCAGATAATTAATGAAAATGTTTTGACTGAGTGGATAAGTAGTGATATTAGCTAACATTATTGAGCACATACTATGTGTTGGGCCCTGTGCCCGACACTTTACATTATCTCATTTAATCTTCTCAACAACTCTATGAAGCAAGTACATTATTATTACCCTCCAACAGGTGCAGACACTTAGGCACAGAGAAGTTAAGTGACTTACCCATGGTCACACAGCGAGTGACTGCTGGAGACTGGACATGAACTCAGATCTGTCTAACTGCTTAGTTCTGCAGCTAAGCTAAAATGGAATGGTGGCCGTTGTTTGGGTTCTCTTAGGAAAAGGTGAGATTGTGGTATAGGCAGTTCCCATACCCATGAAAAGTGGAGCTGAGCTGTTTTGTCACCCTTCCCCTAGCCACTTTAGTCTTTTTGCTATGTACCCACACTCCACTAATTCTACCACTTGAAAGTACCACTGTCCCCTTCTTCCTGAGAAGAGAGATTCATACATGAGTAATTAGCGATAGTTCTGGAAAACAGTGTAAGTCATTGTGAGGCATGTGGCAAAACGGAAATATGGTTTGTGTCACTTCCTTATGAGAATTAGGATCTTTAGACACAACACTACTCACTTGGCTACTAGCTCTGTTCTGTTTCTGGTCAAAGTTTCTGTTTCATGGCTCCTACTGCAGTGCGGTCTTAGGCAGAGGAACATGGTAGTCAAGGTGGCTGACCAATATGTGCTATTTACTCACTGGGGTGATCCTGAGACTGTGTCATGTCTGTGCTTTAGTTTGCTTTGTAAAATGAGGATCTGGTCCACCAAGAAAAAGATCACCGAAATCCATGAAAGCCATGCTAAACCACATGGTCAAAAATATATAAATGCATGAGAGCTTTGCGTCTAAAAATCTTTTTGTATATTCTAGCCCCACAGGAAACCGCAAGTGCACCACCAGCAACATACTCATTGGTAAATAAAGTTAGAAATAAGGAGACCGTTTCCATCCCGAGCTATATCGAGCCTGAATGTGACTATGATGACGTGGAAATCCCTGCGGATATGGAAAACCATCATTTTGAAACAACCATTTCTTCTTTTTGGCAAGCTGAAGAGGGTTCACATGGCTTATTTTAAAACCATCAAGAATGGTTGAACTTCCATGTGTCCAGTCCCGAAAGCAGTGGTATCGTTATGGGGCTGTATAACATAAGCACTTCTGAACCTTAGATGAAGATGTAGTGATCAAATGATGTCAGCCAGAGAAAGATGCAACTTCTCAGCCCTGAAGACCGAGAGGAGTCAGGCCTTGAGCTTTTGTTGAGCGAGTTTCCACGGGAAGGACCGCTGAGCTTCACGGTTCCCACCCAGAGAGAGTACCCTGTTCTCGGCACTCTTCCCTCTTTCCTTCTCTTCTTTGTTTTAAGAGATCTTAAAGCTTGGGGTTTGATTGTGCAGAGGCTTCTAGGCTCCCATCTCCAGCACCATGGCTAGGAGTACAAGGTCTTGTCCCCACCAGCCCCACCCACCTCCTGCATAGTATCTTCAGGTGGCAGTAGCAGCTGAGCGCTCTTGTGTGCAAATCACCCCGTCAGCCTTGTGAGTTCTTCAAGGGTGGGGAGTGCTTTCTGTTCCTGTGAACCCTTTCCACCTACACACACCTCAAACCCCAGTGCCTCTCTATGATGTTGGTCAGGCTGAACATAGTGTTCAAGTTCCCACCCAGTTTTTTTTTTTTTCTGTGCTTCCCAGTTGCACCAAAACAATCAACAGAAGACAGATGTTACACGTAGGAGTGTCATTTTGTAATATGTGTATTGGGCTACAGGAAAAGTAGGTTCTCCTAGGAAAAATCATGGGAAACAGGAAAGAAAGGGGTGATTAAATGGCAGATTCAAGATGAGAGTTAGGGGCTTAAGGCCTTCCTGCATAATTTTCATTACTGCTTCCTCCCTATATAAAGCTGAGCCCCTTCTCTCCAGATCACTGTCCCTGAGCGTCTGGGAGGCAGAATCTCCAATATGAGGTGCTGTAGCTGATGAGATGCCAGGGGAGTGGGCTGCTGTCCTGCTAAATGAGTACTCTAGTGTAGTCACTGAGCCTTAAATCAGCTTTGTAGGCTCCTGAACCTCATCAGTTCTTTCAAGTTGATCCACTAGAGCTCCAGGACTTGACACTTTCTAACCAGACTCACAAGATGCTGATTTCTCAGCCATCCCTTTAAAGGCAGCTGATGAGCAGGGAGAGAACATGAGCTGTGAAAAGGCCTGGGAATGACTGCAGGGCTGAGCTCCTCTTCAAGAGATGTTAAGCTTCCTCCTTCCACCAATGCTGGACCAGTGGGGATAAATCTTTCTCCCAGGTTGTCTCTTTCTAGACTCCATAGAGACCTCCAGCTTCCTGTTGATACCTCCTTATTGTAGGCCAGTGGTTCCCTCACTATGGCCTTATAGAATTCTGGCATTCAACATATCAAAGAGAGGACCCTTTTCCAAAATTGTAGAAAATAAGTTAACAGATATAAGTGTTTTACATGTATGCTTTCCCCTTGTAAATTTCCTGTAAGCTATCCACATTTGCACAAAAGTTAAAAGCAAATGCCTCTCAGCATCAGCATGCTGTAATTACCTATCTACCCATCCCTCTCCTCCACTGGACTGAGAGCAACGTGGGGACAGAGACTGCATCTCTCTTTGCCCCCCTGTTCTCTCTCTTCCCATTCAATGCCCAGGCACTTTGTAGACAGTCAACAAAAATATTGACTAAATGATCAGTTGAATGAATGAATAAATTCCTCTGGGACCTCACTACTCCGTGTACTTGGCCTTATGAAAACGTTCCTCCCTCTGCATTATAATTGCTTGGTTACATTTCCATTCTCCTTTTTTAGTCTGGGGCTCGTATGGGGTGGAACTCACCTGGCTCACTGCTATATTCCAAGTATCCAGGACAAAGCCTGGCACATGGTAGGCACTTAATATTTATTGGATGTTGAACACTAATGGAAATTCTATCAATCAGTTGGACAAAAAAACAAGCATGCATTATTTGGACACCTGTAATAAAGCCCCATTTTTGCCAATAATGTTGTTACAAGTTTGGATGATAGAATTAAATGTATCAAGATTTCACAGGACCTTCTGTGTATCCTAACCCCATAGGAAATCCCAAGTCAGCTACCAGCTACATACTCATAAAGTTAGAAATAAGAAGATATTTTCTATCCCAAGCTCTATGGAACCTAAAGATGATTATGATGGCATTGAAATCATTGCAAATATTGACAACTGTCATTTTAAAACAACTCCTGGTCTACTACCCTAACTGCTTTTGAGAATTGATGGTTCACTCATACAATAAAACCATAGATTATAGTTTTATTTTAGAAAGTTATCAGTCTCATCTTTGTGACACAAATAAGATTGTTGTCAGAGAACCAGCAGCAAGTTTTAAAAATCATGTGTATCAACCCTAACTGGTGTGGCTCTGTAGATTGAGCATCAGCCTGCAAACCAAAGGGTTGTTGATTTGATTCCCAGTCAAGGCACATGCCTGGGTTGTGGGCCAGGTCCCCAGTGGAGGGCACGCGAGAGGCAACCACACATTGATGTTTCTGTCCCTCTCTTTCTCCCTCCCTTCCCCTCTCTAAAAATAAATACATAAAATCTTTTTAAAAAATCATGTGTATGCTTTAGGCTGCAAGGAACAGACTGTCTAACTAAAAGTAACTGAAACAATGAGGAGCTTATGACCTCACAAAACAAGAAGTCTGGAGGTAAGCATTCCAAATTCAACCACTCAGGAGTCAGCTGACCTTTCTTTGATTCTCTCAGCTTTGCCCTCCTGGTGGCAAGGTAGCTGCCATAGCTCCAATCATAACATTATCATACAATGGTGTTCAAAGTTAGGAATGGCATTTCCTTCCATGTAGCTCTTTTTATTAAGAAGGAAAATCTTTCTAGCAACTTTCTGTAATGTCTTACTGGCCTGGAATGGTTCACATGCCCATCTATAGGAAAGGCCAGGGAGTGAACATTGGACATTTTCACCATTTCTTCTTGGCCATCAAAGAAAAAGGAGAGAATAGCTGGTGGATAGGCAGCCTCAGTTCACTCTCAAAAATCACGTTACTCATTATTTGCTTTTTATTTTTTCTGTTACAATCTCAGATTCATTAGGAAGTTCAGGGTAAGGTATGATGTCTAGATTCTACCATTCAGTCTTCTACAGCATTTTGTCCAATAAAAACAGACACAGACTGTCAGTCAAATGAAGATAGTGACAATAAAAGCAATAGCAACAATAACAGGAGCCCAGAGTGACTGCTCACTTCCCCTGTGTCAGAGTTCTAAGGGCTACACTGTCCAATGTAACCATGACCTTGAATAGGCAGGACTTCTGTGTAGTAATCAGAGAAGAGCTGCATCCTCCTGCTGTCTCCTCACTCTGGCTGTTCCTTGAAACCCACTCTGTTGGGCTAGCTGTCCCTTGCCCTGTTAGATAAAATCTCAGGCAGGTGCCACTGGGTCTTCTGGTCACTGTTAGATAATAAAAAGTCCTCCAGGTGTGTGTGACATGGGGGCATGAATCTGTCAAAACTCAGTGAACACACACTTAAGGTTTCTGCATTTCAACCTAAGTAAATCTGACCTCAAAAGAAAAAAACTGTAAATAAATATTGAACTCTGGTTAATAACATGTACACTGGAGTATTTAGGAAAAGTGTACCAATGTCTGCCATTCACCTTGAGATGTATCCAAAGACAAGATGGTGGTAGAGCCTGCACTTTTAGGTATAAATGGAGCCTCCTTGTTCTTGTCCTAAATGCAGCAAGGTCTGGATCTGCAGGGCCAGCTCTGCCCCACCTGCTTGCCCAGGTCCTGGGAAGAGAAAATGAGGAATAGCTGTACATGCATCAAAGAGAGAGTTTAGAGCCTGCTCTCCATTTTGAGGCAAAATAACTCCATCCATATTCTCAGTGAATGTTTTAGATTCAACTCAGTCAAGTGAGTTAGTCTCTCCTCTCTCCACCTCATAGGGAGAGAAATGGACTCTCCTCCTCTATGGACATTGAGAGAAAGAGGATAAGACTCCCTCCTGACTAAGGATGACTTTCTCCAAACCTTGCTCTGTGGCCCTCTCCAGAGCTGTGTGGAGGGGCATCGGTCAGAGCAGCACCCTGAGTGGTGGTCCACCCAGCTCTGTCTCCATGGTGGAAACATGCTCTTCATCTCCCCAATATGGATTCCACTCTTTTCAGCAAAAGCCTCAGATTTTTCTGTTGGATCCACCTCTTTCTCTTCTCTCCATTGGTGTAATTTGTGCAAAGCCTCAGCCCAACTCAGAAGCAGAGTACATCACCCAGACTGGCCAATCAGAGCTTCTCATTCCCTTGACCACAGTGACCAACTTGTTGATTCTTTGGGTTCCAGAGCAGGTCCCCCGGCATGGGATTTGAAGCTATAATAACAGGATAGACACTCTCAAGGTAGAACCTGTCACAAAAGACACTGGGTGGAGATAAGAGGAGGGTTCAGATCCTAATGGCATTATCTGAGCTCCTGTTTCCATACTTGATGTAGGCATACTTACGGAGTTTTTTAGTCACATGAGCTAATATTCTTTAAAAGCTTTCAACACTGTCCCTTAAGATCCATCCCCACCATCACTGCCTAATTTTGGTCTTGTCATCTTTCTTGTGGCTTAATACAAAAGCCTCTTGACTGTTCTCTCCTCCAATTCATCTCTCATTTGCTGTCTGAGGGAACTTTCTAAAACACATCTGATTAGGTCGTAGCCCTGCTTAAAATCCCTTGTGCCTACAGGGATAAAATCTACACCGCCTAAGCACACCCTGCCAGGCCCTGACAACCTGGTCCCCACTGGGGCTCATGTCAGCACTTCCTCTCCTCCCACCACGAACTGACCACAGAAAACCACTGGCAGCTCCTGAAGCATCACAATGCTGCTGAGGCTTCGTATGTTCTCTTCCTCCTACTAAGAACTTTTTCCCCCTCTTTCTCTACCTAATAAATTGAAACTCACTCCTTAGCAACCAGAGGGAGCATCGCCTTCTCTGAAAGGTCTTTCCTCACTAGGTCAGGTGTGCCCCTCTCAGTATTTCTCCCACACCTATCTAAATGCATAATTATCCCCATCTTGTGGTTACGCCTCTCTCCTTCCCATTAGATACTGGGTTCCTGAGGGTTAGGATTATGTCTTAGGGTGACTCTACATTCAGGTTTGCCAAGAACAACAGTTTTGGCTTTTGTTTGATGCCTCAGCATAATTATTAAGAGCACCCTTTTTATTCTCAACTGTCCTGGTTTGAATGATAAATTACTTGTTCACCATACTTCTTTATGATCAAGTCCATGTCTATAAAGAGTGAGTGTTAGAAAAAGTATTTCCAAGCCCTGGCTGATGTGGCTCAGTGGGTTGAGCATCAGCCTGCAAACCAAAAGGTTGCCAGTTTCATTACCAGTCAGGGAACATGTCTGGGTTATGGGCCCTGTCCCCAGGCTGGGGGTTGTACAGGAGGCAACCAGTCAATGTTTCTCTCCATTTTTCTCCCTCCCTTTCTCTCTCTAAAAATAAATAGATAAAATCTTCTTTAAAAAAGTATTTCCAGAAACAAGCAAAATATAGTCAAAGACACTGAAATGGAGGACAGGCTGATGGTGATCAGAGGGGAAAGAAGAGGGAATTTAAGGGGAGAATGGGAAGGGTTTACAAGAAGAAATATGAAGGACACATGGACAAAAACTAGGGGTGGGGGTAACGGGAGGGAGGTGGGGAGGGATGGGTGGGTGGGCTGGAATGGGAGTAAAGGACAGAAAACTGTACTTGAACAATGATTTAAAAGAAGTATTTCCAAATAAATGCATGAATAAGTGATCTTTCTAGGTCTAATTTTATTTTATCAAATAAATAGCCAAATTAGATTATTTCTAAGTTCTTTATTGCTTAAAGTGGTTCAAATTAAGTCAGTACTCCAAAAGGCCAAGACCAGTAATTTTGGTTTGTCTTCCCCTTGAAATGACCCACCATATAGAATTCCACACTTAAACATATTAAGCCAGGGTTAACAACTTCAGAGACTATGACCTGCTGGGAGCCTGGTTACTGACACAAATAACTTCTCCACTGATGGCTAAGTTCCCTCAGTTAGACCCACCAGGGGCTGGATGATCTCCTAACATCAGGTAAAAAATAAGTTCCATTTATTCTTGTGATGCAAGTTGCCTCAGTAGGATTATTTCTGCTCAGATTTGCCCCCGATTTGTGGTGTGCTTCAGTTCCCAACCAATCCCATCCACATCCCTGAGTGTGCACAGCATGCTCTGCTGTGGCCAAGCAGCAGTGAGAAATCTCACCAGGATTTGCACTTGGGTGCTGAAAGCCCTCCATCATAAATAACAGGTAACAACGATCTGTGGTCACATTTCATTTTACTAGAGCAGATACAAAATTTTTGTAAAAAACAGCCAATTAATATTGTCACATCTTGGCTCTTTCACTGTAAAATGCAGGTTTTTATATTTACCCACATCTTATTGCCAAAATCTAGTGTAGTTAAAGTTTTAGATCAGCTGCCCTTGAATAATTTAAATATTCTACAAACAATCAGAAAACAACACTAAATAACCTTGGTTACTTACAAAGTGGCCTATAAACTAATGCCCTTTGAATTTTTTTTAAACATTAGATGTTTTAGCATTTTTTTTTTTTTTCACAAATTGGGTGTCAATGGAACATGGCTTAGGTTTTCAAAAACTTGCAGAAGGCAGTATTTAAGAACAAAGAACTTCCCCTGATGGTAAAAAAAGTTTATTTGCATAACTTCTACATCTCTACCTCCCATGAGGCACAAACAAAAATAAATTTTCCGATACATTTAATGTTGGCACTCTACAATGCTATTTTCAGTGACCAAGAAAAAGTTCCTCTGAATACATGAAAAATAAATATTACCCTGCATTTCTTACTGTTGTTTAGAAAAGATGTTGCATCAATATTTCATAGATCAAATCTCTATTGTATCACTGGACTAGTTTAACAAGATTTCCACAATTCTTTACAATGTGAGATTTGAAAAAAAAAATATATATATATACACAAATTTATTTTTAAGTTCTGGTTTGGCCATCTTGAAGTGCACTTCGGCAGCATCAACTGAAGTTGAAAATAGGGATACTCTAGATGACCCAGCAACCCCACTTTAGGAGACATACCCTAGAACAGCGGCTTTAGAACTTGTTGGTCCAAGATCCCCATGACACTCGTCAAAATGACTGAGGACACCAAAGAGATTTTATTTAAACAGAAGATATCTACTGACATTTAGCTTAATAGAAATGAAAACTGAGAAAGATTTTAAATATGCATTAGTTAATTTAAAATAATAAGTCATCATGTTAATATAAGTAACATTTTTATTTAAATGATTATGTTTTCTCAGGCAAAAACATTAGTAAAAAAGAGTGGCATTGTATTAGACTTCTGTGAATCTCTTTAATACTCAACTTAATAGAAGACATCCAGATTCTTATATCTGCTTCTGTAGTCAACCTGTTACACTGTAAACAACATGTACCCTCTGGGAGTTCCACTGTACACTCTTGAGAGAGGAAGCATGAATAAGGGCAAATAACATCTTAGTGCTGTTATGAAAATAGTTCTGATCTCATGGCCCAGACCACACTTTGAGAATCACCGCCCTAAAGGCACATGTATAAACTTAAGCACATGTATAAAGATGTTCTTTGTAGTATCATTTATTACAGGGAGAAAGTGGAACCCATGTCCATCTTGTAGTCTATCCACAGGGGATCACAAAGTCCATGCAGGCTGCCCTGTTGTTGCTTTGCTCACTACACACCTCCAGCTCTTAGCACACGGTGGGCACTCAATCAACAGCTGTGGAAGGAGGGAAGTGAGAGAGGCAGCAAGGACGGAAATATAAATACTGCTCTGCAACTTGCTTTAAAATTTAACTCTGTTCCATGAACATCTTTTCACAGATGTAAACTTAAGTCACAGGGTAGGAATGGCCAAAAGCAATGTGATTCTTGTATAACTAGTAAGCATATTTCTCTAAAGTCCAAAAGTAAAGGTGTCTGTACTTTATCTGTTAAACACCACAGGCTGCAAACCACTGTCATCTAATGGAGCATTAAGCTGTCCACACATTATGGGCAGACTGGCCTTTGTTATTAACAAATTTTGCCCATATTTTGTTTGGAGATATTCTGTAATTCATATTTTTAAAATGAGTCAGTTATTTAAAGACCTTTCTAGAAATAATATAACCAATGTAGATATCTTTGTTACCCCTGTTGTTTTCATGTACACTAGAGGATTTTCTTTTTTAAAAATATATTTTATTGACTATGTTATCACAATTCTCCCATCTCCCTGCCTTTATTCCCTTCTGCCCTGCCTCCTCCCCCACTCACATTCCCCCCTCCTTAGTTCACGTCCATGGGTCATACATTTAAGTTCTTTGGCTTCTCCATTTCCTATACTATTCTTAACCTTCCCCTGTCTATTCTGTACCTACCATTTATGCTTCTTATTTCCTGTACTTTTTCCCCTATTTTCCCCCCTCCTGCTCCCCACTGATAACCCTCCATGTGATCTCTATTTCTGTGATTCTGTACCTGTTCTAGTTGTTTGCTTAGGTTGTTTTTGGTTTTTTAGGTTTTGTTGTTGATAGTTGTGAGTTTGATGTTATTTTACTGTTCATATTTTTATCTTCTTTTTTCTTAGATAAGTCCCTTTAATGTTTCATATAATAAGGGCTTGGTGATGATGAACTTTAACTTGACCTAATCTGGGAAGCACTCTATCTGCCCTTCCATTCTAAATGATAGCTTTGCTGGATAAAGTAATCTTGGATGTAGGCCCTTGCCTTTCATGACTTTGAATACTTCTTTTCAGCCCCTTATTGCCTGTAAGGTACTTTTGAGAAACCAGCTGATAGTCTTATGGAAACTCCTTTCTGGGTAACTCTTGTTTTCTTTTGCTGCTTTTAAGATTCTCTCCTTATCTTTAAAATTGGGTAACTTGATGATGATGTGACTTGGTATGTGCTTCCTTGGGTCCAGCTTCTTTCTTTGGGACTCTCTGAGCTTCCTGGGCTTCCTGAAAGTCTATTCCCTTTGCCAGATTGGGGAAGTTCTCCTTCATTATTTGTTTAAATCAGTTTTCAATTTCTTGTTCTTCCTCTTCTCCTTCTGGCACCCCTATGATTCAGATGTTGGAACATTTAAAGTGGCCCTGGAAGTTCCTCAGCTTCTCCTCACTTTTTTAAGTTCTTCTTCATTCTGTTCTGGATGAATGTTTATTTCTTCATTCTGCTCCAAACCCTTGATTTGAGTCCTTCCCATCACTGTTTCCCATCACTGCTGGTTCCCTGTACATTTCTCTTTATTTCACTTTGCATAGCCTTCGTTTCTTCCTGTATTTTGCAACCATACTCAACCATTTCTGTGAGCATCCTGACTACTACTGTTTTGAACTCTGTATCTGATAGGTTGGCTATCTCTTCGCTGCTTAGTTGTGTTTTTTCTGGAACTTTAATCTGTTCTTTCATTTGGGGCATTTTTTTGGTCTCTTGCACCAGTGACATAGTAAGGGGCAGAGCCTTAGGTACTTAGGTATTTGCCAGATCCGGCCAACCCAGGTCACTGCTTCTTCATGGTGCTGTATGTGGGGGAGTGGTCTGAGAGGGAGCAATGCTGCTGGCTCAGCTCTTAGCCGTCTTTCAGTCACTTCCCCTACTACACATAAGCAAATTGGGCCCTTCTGATGCTGATTCATGGGTGGGTGGGTTTGTGTACATTCCAGGACCCTGTGGGTTTCCCCAACAAACTCTCCTGTGAGGATGGGAGTTTCTCCCATTGCTGCAAACTTCACAGGCTTTTACCACCAGAGGTTCTGAGACTTTATTTTCCTGCACTGGAACCCTGGGTTGCGTGGTCTGTCTCAATCCCCAGTTGTTCCTTCCAGTTTATCTGCACACAAATGTGGGACCACCCAGTCTGCCAGCCACTTCCTCACCAGCCCTGGTCCTACAGCTACTGCCTTGCTGTACATCCTCTCCACCCCGGCTGCCTGTCTCTGCCCCTCCTACCAGTCTGGATGAATGTTTCTTCAACTCCTTGGTTGTCAGACTTCCATACAGTTTGATTTTCTGGTAGTTCTGGTTGTTTTTTGTTTTTAAATTTGTTTTACTTCTTTTGGTTGTGCGATGAGGCACAGTGTATCTACTTTACACCTCCATCTTAGCCGAAAGTCAGATTTTCTTAAGATAATTTAGGTAAATTCATTAACATTTCTCATATCATACAACAAAACCAATTGTTAAAACAAGTTAATGGATAATTTTGTTCATATAACTATCTTTTTCTTTCTCTCCTCTTTTCTTGACTTTGCTTGGTCCTAATTTACATCTTAAAAGATTTTTAAAACTGCATGCAGGAAAAAAAAAGCAAGGCATAATAACTGCTCAATAAATGTTTGCTGCTAATAAAAAAAGAATATTCACAGACTTTTTTCAATGCCTTTTTTTTTGTTCAATTTTGTGTCCTCAATGACTAACACACGTGGGAGTCCAATAAATATTGTGGAAGGAAGGTGGGGCGGAAAGAAGAGAAGATGGAAGAGAAGAAGGAAGGCTGACTATGTTTTAAAAAGATAGGTTATGATGTTCAGAGTGCCTTTTACCTCCATGATTCTAGAACATGAGTAACAATAACAAAAAGGCCATCGTTAATTAAGCTTTCAGCCCTGGCCGGGTGGATCAGTTGGTTGTAGTGCCCTTTGTGTCAGCCACCTGCACTGGTCTTCAGTTTCTCAGGCACATTGCCAGCTGCCACAGGACCTTGCACAAGTAGTTCCTGCTGCCAGAGATTCTCTCCCCCTACACCCTCTCATAATAGACAGTCCAAAGAGCTGTCTCTTTTTTTCTGGTAAAAAATAAAAACAAACAAAAAAACTATCTTTTCTTTCCATCGCCTCATGGGCCTTGTAGTAACATGAATCCCTTTCCACATCCCAACATGTAATATAGGCTGGCCAAAGTACCTCATCCACTGGATTCAGTGATTGGTCCAAGTTTGGGCATATGATCCAAGCAGAACCAAGCCGAATCCCTTTTTCTATAATTGCTATAGATGCTCTCCTTCAGTAACCCTGGGCTCTGAAACATACCTCCACGTGGAAAAAAAATTTATGAAGTCAACACAGAGAAAAGCAAGACCAAGCAATGGAGAGAAAGAAAGGAGTCCTGATGACAGGTGCTTAGATCCCTAAGTCCTGGCCTTTCCTGAAGTCTGTCCACCCCCCTGGCTTCTGTTACATGAGACAAGTTATGCTCTAGCCAGAGCTGGGTTTCTACCACTTCATTTCCTTTGCCTGACTAATCAAAGAAAGCCAGTTTCCAGAAAGTCTTCACAGACCTTCCTGTGTAGGTCAAGTTTTCATTAGTAAGTTCTTAGTGTATTCTCCAGCATAGCAGTCACCGCAGTTATCACTCCATATTTATTCATGGATTTATTTAAATATCTCCTTCACAAGTTCCATGAGAGGGCCTAGGGTTTTGCTGAACATTCATTGCATCAACAATGACTGGAGTGGGCACTCCACACATATTTGTAGAACAAATTAATCTCATAATGAATTCACGCTTCTGAAAGGGGCAGCAAGTTAAGCCCATAAAGGGTCAGAAAAAAAGAGTTCTTTGTTCAAAATAAGACTAAAAAGCACCCCCCCAAAAAACCCACTGTTAACATGACTTCATATTTCTCAACAAAAATGTAGCTACTGTCTTTCCCTGCAATTCCATTTTCCTTCTTCTTGTTTAAGCAGATCTTGGTTCTTACAACAAAACTAAAGCTAAAAAAAAAACCGCTTAATTTTGTTATTTCAAAGTAAAATAAGAAATACATGAAAACATTCATGGTTATAACTTTCCTGGAAAAAAAAAAAGAAGAGCAAATGGATAGAGGGCTAGCCCTACAAGATTTTAAAACATATTTAAAAGCTCACAGTTAGAATAGTTTATTATCGAAGAAGAGACAAATAGACAAGTGAACAGAAAAACACTTTAAATACATATGTAAATTTAGTTAATGATAAAGACGCCATTTAAAATCAGTGAGGAAGAGGATGATCCATCCAATGGGACTCAGGCCACACAGCTCATTAGTGGTGGGTCAGCTATTGTCTGACTTTCTGACCTCTGAACTTACCCTATTTTTGTTTCTCTCTGCGACAACAATAGCATGCGGGGGGCGGGGGGCAGAAAAACATTTAAAAGGCAGAACAAAAATGTAAAATTATTTGATGGGGTCGTTCACCCATACAGACCGGACTGAAACCCGGCCGTAGGCAAGTCTAGGACCTCCGGAGGACTCTACATCTCGGTGGTAACCAAGCGCACCTGGCGCTGGCGCCCCCGGGTGCACCAACCTGCGTGGCACAGGACCCTCTGGGAGTCGACTCACGCGACACCCAGCGTAGGACCAAGCCGGCGGAGTTTGTGCAGAGAAGATACCTGAGCCTGTGGGAGCACACGCGGGTTGGTGGGCACAGCAGGGGTCGAAAGGGGGGTGCGGGGGTAGCGCCACCGCCTCCTTAGGGAGCACACCAGAAGTAGCCACCCAATCCTGGTGTCCAAGATGTTGGCTCCGCGCCCGAGTTAGAACGGGATGCGCGATGGCGGCCGTGCAGGGGGGCCCCAGTGGAGCGGGAGGCGGGGGGTGGCCTGGAGGTGAGACCCCGCTGCGTTCGCAGAACTGGTAGCCCTGGCGCCTGGGGCCCTCCGGAAAGCTGGGTGGGCAGCAGATCTTCCGAGGCAGGAGATGAACCCACCCCTCTTTTCTTGAAGTGGGAGAGGCTGGGGCCTCCGGGACATGGGTGCGTGGGGCCTGGGCCTGGGCTTTCTGACCCTTGGCCCTCTTCTGGGTCTCGGTGTGGCCCGCCCACAGCCTTCCCCGCATCTCACTGCCTCCCCCCACTCCCACCCCCACCCCGCTCTAGTGTTTTCCAGTTTTCTCCTGTGCATTTCGCACACTGCACCTCCCCCAAACCCAGAAACAATCCTCAGTCGTAAATTGACTCTATTCCTTTCCCCTCGCTGTGGCAGGCTCCTTTGTAGTTTTTAACAATGGACGAGATCTGGTTTCTAAGCTCCGAGAGTAACTGACAGCCCTGCTGGGGAGACTAAGCTGAACTACAAGAATGAAGTGTATGCTTCAGACGTGTTCTAATATTTGATCTAAGCTATTAGCAGTGTTGGAGTTCAAAGGAGGGGACTGATTTAAGGCTGGTCTCTTCTTTGTAAAGGTCTGTATATCCTTTTAGGAGTAACTTCAAAAGTCATTTTCTTTGGGAAGCCTTCACCTACCTCCATTTTTAAGTTTCTCATCTTTTTTAAGCGTATTGAGCTAGTGCTAAGTTCATAAACTCTTATCTCCTTGTTTCAGGTGTGTGTCCGTGTGTGGTACAGGCCCCCACTCTAGGCAGGGACTCTGTCTTTGTTTAGCATCACCTAATGTGTGCACATGAGTATGAATTAAAAAGGATTGAAATGGTGCCCTGGCCAGATGGCTCAGTTGTTTGGAGTGTCATCCTGTACACCAAAAGGTTGCTGGTTCAATTCCCGGTCAGGGCATATACCTAGGTTGCAGGTTTGATCCCTGGTCGGTGCATAGAGGAGGCAACCAATGGATGGTTCTCTCTCACATTGATGTTTCTCTCTCTCTCTGTTCCTCTCTCTAAAATCAATTTTTAAAAAAGGATTGAAATGGTTAGAAGGTACTGACTTGAGGTGGGCCTGCAACAGTGGGCAGTATTTGTGTAAGTCAGAGGTTGAAAAATGATGGCTCCTGGCCAGATCCAACTGTAGATATATTTTCATAGTTCATGGTATTTGTTTTATTTGAATTAGTGGCCAAACTTTTATATCAGGAAATTTCTTTGACATCCACTCACACAAAAATCTAGATTTTCAGTACCTCTTAGAAAATCAGAAGATGTAGCCAAACAGGGCCCACGTGCCTACATGGTGCTGTTATTGACGGGAGAGACCTGGTTCTTCTTGCTGACGCATGTAAAGAATTACATATCAGCAAATCTAGTAGTATGTAATCAGTTTATTAGTGGCTCGCTTCCATGGAAGAGAACAGGACTGGGTAGAGTAGGGGGTGAAAGGCAAAGTTTCAGAGCAAAACAGGGTGAGAAAAACAAGAGAGGCTGGAGACCAGAGTGGCAAGCCCCTGGGCAGCCTGAGGCCGGGTGGCCAGAGGCCCTGTGGCCCGAGAGCCAAGAACACCCTGAGCCCGAGAGAGAGAGAGACAGACAGACAGACAGATAGACAAAGACAGACAGACAGAGACCTTTGTTCTCAGGACTTATATAGTTGGTGGGATAGGAGGGTAAAAAGTTACATATTGATTTATGGGTAAATGTGACACCAGCTTTCCTGGGGGAATGTGACTACCCAAATTTAGGGATGAATGGGGGTCTGTCCGCCCGAATTCTTATCTTGCTCCAGACTCCATTTGGTCATCCTGTTGTAAAATATGTGACAGGAGGCAGTTAATTAAATTTTGGGGCAATTTCCGAAGTTATTTGTGGGCACTTTCTGTAAGCATCAGGGATTCCCTTGTAAAACAGATAGTGACCAGAGGTAGGCAATTAACCAAACTCAAATTATGGGCTCTTTCTTGCTAATATAGTGTTTCTTGTGATATTAGAACACCTGGTGATATTATCAGACCAGACTTAGGACTGCTGACTTAGCATGTGAGACTTGTGTCCTTCCTCCTCCTTGCCTCAGTCTACTATTTATTTTACCTAATTGGTAAAAGGTGTTTCCTGGCAACCAGGGTGATAAATGCTGGTCAATGACAGTATTGCAGTCTCAGAGTTCTTCCTATGCTGTCTCCTGCTTCATTGTTAGTAGGAGTTGAGTAGCAAGTCATTCCTTTCGACTTGGTCTAAAATTTCCAGATTTCTTGTCCCCACTGATCCATTGTCTTTCCCTGACACGGAAAACATGTATCAGTTGTCATTTATCACCTAGTTTGCTGCACTCCTGATTAACTGCCTGGCCCCTTGCAGCCATTTGAGTTCTTGATTCCGGATGTAGATAGAGGCAAATAGGGAGGGCATCATGAGTAAGAGAGTCATGGGCAAAGGGATGGAATGGAGAGAAGCCTAGTATGTGGAGAAATTAGGGAGGATTCCAGAGCATAGGTTTGCTTTTAGGTGAATCATAGAGTTGAGCTATTGTTATGGGTTGAATTATGTCCCCCCAAAAAGATACGTAAGGTCCTAATCTACAGTACCTTAGAAAGTGATCTTATTTGGAAATAGGGTTGTTGCAACTATCTCTTGGTAAGGTGAGGTCATATTGGTATAGAATTGGCCCCTAATTCAATGTGACTGGTGTTCTTATAAGAACATGGCCATGTGAAGGAAGAGACAGAGGGAGAGTGGCATGTGAAGATTGAGTCAAAGATTGGAGTGATGCATCTACAAAGCAGGAAAGACAAGGATTGTCACCAGATGCCAGGAGAGAGGCACAGAACAGTTATCCCTTAGAGCCTGTGACTGGCTCTGGGCACCCTGTTTGGATCTACAAAGTGATCCACAGTTTGTGGCTGCCTCTGCTGAGCCCGCATGTTCACAGGAAGGACCGAGCTATGCACCAAGGCAGGCTTCCACTGAGTCTGGGGGCAGGTCAGCAAAAGGCCCAAGGCACCCAAAGATCTGCCTCCGCCTGCTGGCTGCCTTATAGGTTCATTCACTGAAAGAGTCTCTGGCAGTACACAAGTTGCATGAGAAAGGTTTTCAGTGAGCACATGGTGTTCACCAGATTGATAGAGGTTCAATCTCAGTGCTAGTGCTGGGTCTGAGGCCACTCAGCAAAAGTCCCAGTGTATACCAAGTCTAGCTTCCCCCTGCTGGGTTTCTGCAGACCTTTGTGGTGGGCCATGGTGTCAGGAAATCATCAGACTTAGGCAAGCGGAATTTATCAGGCCCAAGTAGACCAAGATTTGGCTGTGTGAAGAGAGGGCTTTGTACCAGTGGGGAGTGCAAGAGAAAGATAGCCCCTGTCCTTGAGACACACAGCTTAGTCTGTCCCAGATGTTTCAGAGAGCCCAAGCTCAGCAGAGCAGGGCCACCAGGAGTCCAGGAGGGTAGAGTTAGTGGATCTCCCATGTCGGGGAGTGCTAGTCAGGTTTAGGGGAAGGAGGGAGGAGTGGTCCTCACCCCAGTCACCAACACCCCCTGAGTCTGCCTGGACCTCTACACCCCTTCCCAGACAACTGAATCCTCAGCTGGGTTTGGGCTCTGAAAGATGGGTGACAGGGAGTCCAGAGGGTGGGGCTATTGCATTCCCACAGGCTGATGCCAGAAGGAGGATAATGCTCCTACCAAGAAAGGTGGCATCTGCAGTGTGGGAGAGGAACTCAGCACAGGAATCCTGGCAGCTGTCCCTTCAGCCCTCTTCCCAGATCCACAATCCCCAGTCCCTCTTCAAGCGACTCTAGTCCACTCTTCTCTCCCTCCACCAGAGCCCAGAGTGGCTGCGATTGAGATATTTGTGCATTGGCCCTTTAAAAGAGCTCCTGTGCCCTAGCAGACTCCTGTCTCTCCCTGGCAGACAGAATCCCTACTGATTTTCACAGTCAGATGTTACATAGCCTCCTCTTCTGGCTCTGGTGCCCTGGGCTGGGAATCCCAGCCTGGGGTTGAGACCCCATGCTCCTCAAGGGGAACCTTTGCAGCTGAGGTATCCCTCCAGATATCAGCTGCAGCCCATGGGAGTGGGGCCAGCCCATTTCACATCTCTCCCCCACTTCCTATCAATGTTGATGTGGCTTCTTCTGTAAATCCTTGGTTATGAGACTTCTATTCAGCTTGTCTTTGGGTTATTCAGGTTGATGGTTCTATGTTTTAACTGTAATTCCAGTTTGGTCCTGGGAGGGGGTGAGTGTAACATCCACCTACTCCACCACTGTCTTAGATCTTGGTCTCTCACATTTTTAGAGGGAGAGGCAAGATGAGCTACTGAGACCAAGGGTAATACAGGAAGTAGTAGATTTTAAAAGAGAAGAGAGGGTATGGCGTATTTGCTACTGGCTCTCCATTGGGCAGTTTTTGAGCAGGAACTTCTATTTCAGAATTCAAGATGCTGCAGGATGCAGCTGTGAATGAATCACAAAAGGATGCTGGGCACCAGATCTGCACTCAGTTGGAATCTTTGCAAGGAAGAGGCAGAGCTGGTCTTACTGGGTAAGGGCTCCATCCTCAACATAGAATCCATACACTCTAACTTCTTGTTCAGTTGAAAAAAAAAAACAAATGTTTTTAAGATCTCAGTGGAATTAGAGGATTAAGGATTCCCAATGGCTTTGACCCTTGGAGGCAAGATCCTTCAGCTCTTTGGTAAAGGATAGCTAGCCTGACCTATGACATTAGAAATCACAGATTCTTGACTTGCCCTGTGCTTTCTCTCTCTCTGTCTTATTAGTCCTGTTAGACCAATAGTTAACCAAAATTCCACTCATCTTCAAATCTCAGACCTATTCCCCCCATCTTTGAAAACCACTCTTCCTCCTGTGCCCTCTGTCTTCATAAATAGCACCACATCCCACTCATTTCTCAAGTCAGAAAACTGAAAGGCCATTCTTGACTTCTTTCTTTCCCCACATGCATTACCATGTTCTGTTGATTCTAGGCTGACCCACAGTAGACAGTGCTTACCTTGTTGGTCACTGATCACACTATCTTGTTACCTGTTTACACATATGTCTCCCTTCCATTAAACTGTAAGTTCCTTGAGGGCAAAGACCACATCTGATGGTCTTCAAAAGTGATGTTCACTTTTGTATTCCCAATACCTAGTACGATGTCTGGAACACAGTGGGTGCTCAGTTAGTGTATGTTAGGCAAACAAATCAGTAAGTGACATGAACACTGAGGCCCTTTTCCCAGAAACTCTTGAGTTCCGCTATATTGGACTATAGAGGAGGACTCATCACTGATCAAGCTTATGTTTCAGATGCTGTTCCCTCCTACTTCAGACATCCTCTGAGGGAAAGAGTTCCTTAAACTACTTCTGGTGGAAGTGGATGAAAAATTTTAGTAGTGTGGCCACCAGTCTCTGAGGAGAGAGCTGTGTAGGACAAAGGACTAGGTACTTTACCATTCCCATGCCTGTGGCAAAGTTTGATTCTAATGATTCTTATAGAAGAGTGCTTTTCTCACTATTTGCAAATAATGTATTGTTTCCTCTTTCTAGCTCCCTTACTACTTTGCTTGTATCATCTTCACTTTGTTCTAGATCTAAGATGAAATTATACTGTGTATTCATTATCAGCCAGGATCCAGTCAGGAGACAAAAAACTATACCAGTTATTCAAACAAGGGACATTTTATATAAAGAATGTTTACATAGTAAAAGGTGGTTAACTACTTAAAGGGTTACAAGAGGACTCTAAAGAGTACAGAAATAGATGATGCAGGAAGCAGCCTTACCTTGAATTAAGGGAAAATAAACAAGGAGGAAACCAAGAATTTAGGAGGGGACTCCATAGCTCAAAGCTGAGATTCAGATGTTTTTGAAGAGGTTGTGGCTGCCAGAGGGACACATAGCCTGATGGTGGTGAAGAGTCTTTTCAAAGGGCATAGGCCAGAGCTGGTCTGTAAGAGTGGCCTGCCTAATGCAGAGAAATTCACTGTAGGGTCTAGTCCGCCTGCTGGGTGGTGGAAAACTCATTGGAGGGCATGAGTGGGCCAGAGCTGGTTCACCACAAGCTATTAAGCCTCCCATCTGTTGATCTGCTGCCCTCCCCTCCCCGGCAAAAAACAAAATAGCTTACTAGTATCAGGAAGAGAAATCCCTTTCTCTGTGTGTGGCTCACAGTGGTCCTTCAGTGCCCTCTGCTGACTAAGCCAGAGAACAGGAGAAATGTTTCAGGGTCCAGCTCCAGTACCAAAAGTAGGCTGAAGAAGACAAAATGGGACTGTATAATACGATCCCACTTTTGTATATAACAGAACATTGGCAGTGTCTGTCTTTGGATGGCAGGATCAAGGCATTATAGGTGCTTATTATTTTCTCTGTTTTTTGTTTTCCTGTAAACATGCAGTATTTTTATAATCAACAAAAATGTTATGGAAAAAGTATTTGTAATTTTAAGAGATTCCTTCTCTAAAATTATGAAAAAATGATTATGAAGTCCATTAAGAGTCTGAGTCACTCTAATGGTATCTGTTGATTTCCTGTCATGAAAGATAGGCAAAGCATTACAATTTATACTCATTCCCACCACCTCTCCTCCTCACAGTGCAATTTTTATAATATAATTATTTTAACACTGTCATGGTTTAAATCATTCACTTCCTATTCTACAAAAACAGTTTCCAGTTATTTAATCTCAGTTCTGCAATTAAAATGATTCAGTGCTCACCATCGATTTTTTTACATTGTCTTCTCAATTCCTTAATGTTTAACTTATTTCTTCATTGGCTATATTCCAGGCAAGCAGTCCTTTCCAAAAAGGATGCTCGATGGGTGTCAAACTCCATGAATTTTTTTTTACCTACCTGATAATGTTTTCCTATGCATTTAACATGAAAGTGCATGTTGCTGGGTACAAACTTTTTTGGAGCACATTTTTTCTCTTCATAACTTTTTTAGGCATTACTATACAGTCATCCTTGGGTATCGGGATATGGATTGGTTCCAGGACCCCTGTGGATTCCAGAATCCACACGTGCTCAATCCCTTATATAAAATAGTGTCGTATTTGCATATACTTACACACATCCTCCCATCTACTTTACATCATCTCTAGGTTACTTACAATACCTAATACCTAATGTAAATGATATGTAGTTATTTATGCTATATTGTTTAGGGAATGACAAGAAAAAAAGTATGTACATGTTCAGTATAGAAGCAATCATCATAGGCCTAACTATGAAGTACATGTCAGCAACAATGTAACTTTTTTAAAGATTGTATTTATTTATTTTTAAAGAGAGGGGAAGGGAGGGAGAGAAACATCAATGTGTGGTTGCCTCTCACATGGCCCCCGCTGGGGACCTGGCACTGGAGACCTGGCCCACTGCGGCGGTGACCCTTTGGTTCCCAGCCCATGCTCAATCCACTGAGTCAATTGACACCAGCCAGGGCAACTATGTAACTTTTTAAAAAAAGATTTTCAACAGTAGTGGTTGAATCCACAATTGTAGAATGCTAGAGTGTGGAGGGCCAACTGTGTTCTGTCTGGCATTAAGTGTAACTGTGGAGAAGTGTAAAGTCAACCTGAAATTATCTCACACATTACTTGTTTTTTTGCCTACATGCCCATTGGCTCATTTGTTCCTGAAATGTAGTTATTTCATCAGGAGATATCTTGGTGTTGACTGTTACATATCAACTTTTTATGGGCTACAACACACCCTTCCAATAGATTCAAGTCTTCTTTTCAGCAATATTTTCCTGTTACATGTTTGAATGTTCTTATTTTGTTCTTTTCTTCAGTAATACTAATTTTATGTATTTGAATATCTTTCTATTGCTACTGGTCTTCTCTATAATCATATTTATATTCATTTCATTCAGTATGATTTCTCCAGGTCTCATCATAACCCTGTACTGATTATTTTGTTGTTTCTTAGGTGAATTTCATCTACATAATACATCTAGTTTTCTCTTGCATTTCTTTTCTCAACTCTTTCAAATTCTCATTTTTTATTATTTTATAACCTATAATCTATTTTAAAGCCTTATATCTCTTCTTTGAGATAATGGAGAACTCTGATGTTTCATATCAATTCCTTTGGTATTCTTCTCGGAGGTATGCTCCTAATCCCTCTGTTATTCACGTTCCTTTCTTTCTTAAAACAATCACCACCACCTATTTTCAAGCACACTTCCCACACAGTTACCTTAATGATTACGACTGAGCAGTGAATGAATCAGACTCTCCATTAAAGATTACCATGGGAAGAGGCAGAGGGAACAGAGCAAGGGCACTTTAGGACCTTCATGCAGATTTGCTGCCACAAACACCTTCTCATCTAATCTACAGTCATATCTCCCTTCAGTTTTTGGTTTCCAGGAGATCAACATGGGCACAAGGGAAAGCCCTTTAGATCACAGGCTTTTCATTATACAATTTGAAAGTCACACTGTCTACTCCTTCTTCACCTTGCCTAACCTCTGTCAGTGTTCCGTAGCTAGAACTAGGCAGAGGGAATAGAAATGACCTGCCAGCATGGCTCCCCACTTTAGCACTGCCTCTTCCCGCTCTGATGTGTCAGACTAGATGTCTACAGAGACAGTCCTTGCTTTCTCCATGACTCCCCTCCTGCCGTGCTCTAGATGTCTTCACTCTGATCAGAAGGTCACTGAATGTGCCATTCAGAAATATGAACCTTTGGGAGATGTCTGTATGTGGCCCTCTTTTTAAAGATGGAGTTCACCTCATTTGTCATTCTTTTCATTGTTTTCAGTGGCTTTTGAGAAGTACCTTTACCATCTTTTAGCATGTTTCTGACTTTTGAACAATATATATCAAACAAACAAACAAACAAAAAAACACTTTAGGAGAAAATTATGATAAAGCCAGTTCTTTCCAGTATTTTATTTGACTTATTTAAATGAAATCCAGCCTGGATGTGGAGGTTTATGCTAGGGACATTCTACTCACTGATAGTTCTTGGGCTTAAAGGGTCAACATTAATAGTAATAATAACAGCAGATGCCACTAATATAGTGCTTTCTATATGCCAAGCACCGTTCTAAATGTTTTACATATATTTATTCTCATAACAACTGTGAGGTAAATGCTATTACTCTCTCCATTTTAGAGTGAGGAAACTGAGGGACAGAGGGCTGCAGTGACTTGCCTGAGATCACACAGTGAGTAAGTGAGGGAGCCAGGATTCAAATCCAGGCAGTTGGCCCTGTAGTCCATTAGGAGTCTGTGTTCTGAATCATTGTGTTGTGTTACCTCTTATTCATTGCAAAAAGATTAATGACTAGAGAGTTTATAGCACTAGGGCCAAGGTGAAATGGCTCACTCAAGGAGCTCAGAAATGTGTTTTTGTGGGGGAAACGTCAGGAATTTGAGGATACAGACACGTAAAAATAGTAAGCTCATCTTACTATTACTTAATAGCTCATCTGCTTCCAGTCACAGGAGGATACAAAGTTGCCATACAAAAGGGAGGCAATTCTACCAGAATACCAGAAAGAAAAATGCCAGGTCTGAGAAAGGGAGAATTGGTTCCTATTAAAATGACAGGCAAACATTTTTATTCTGAGGCATAGTTTCAGAATTGTTTAACTGTTATTATTGGGAGGAAAGGGTAGGGTGCCAGTTATTAATTTATTGCCTCTCAACTCCAAATCTACCCTTCTTTGCCTTGCTTTGCTTCTGAATCTCAACCATTCCTCCTTTGCCAGCTGGTACAAGATTTAGATTTTTGTCAACAGAGGATGCTGGAGGGACAATTCAAGGCCACTGAAAAAGAAGAAAACTCTTCCTGGTGCTGGTGTGCTTTTATTACACACAGGATCCGCCAAGTTTCTACCCCATCAAAAAGGCCACATCCTGGAGCCAGCTCCAGACCACCCGCCTCCTCCCATGAATTTTCCTACCACCCCACAGACCACTCCCACACACCAGCTCCAGCCTGCGCCTGACACATGTCTTCTCTGCCGGTAGGGTATGTGTTCCTGTGATGCCGCAGTCTCTCTAAAAAGGTCTGAACCTCAGCCCCAGTGAGGAAGAGTTCTCCTCTAGTTTCTTTGTTCCTCCTTCTTAAACTTCCCAACATAGGGAGAGGTGATTTTTGTATTTTAGGAATTATAGAATGGCCTACTGCTTATCATTTCAGATTCTGAGACCAGGAATAAGATGAAGAACTGGAAGGCAAAGAGGAAAATTTCTGAAGAAAAAGATTTAGCGAGGGCTGTACTGGGAGTACACCAAAGACAAACCTCCCAGGAATGTGGGTTAGTCAAAACCAGTGATCCCAAGGACAGGTTAGTGCTGCATTGGGTAAGCCCCTCAGAGGATGCAGTGAGGCAGCCTCCTTCCCAAGAGAGAGCCATCATGGAAGTGGACCTCATCCCCAAGAAAGCCATTTCAGAAGAGAGGGGCCACAGATACAATGAAGGAGGAAAAATACTTTCTGCTGGAGAAAGATCCCACAGGTATGATGTCTGTGGCCAGAGCTTCAAACAGAAGTCAGAACTAACTGAACATCAGAAAACTGATAATATCAAGAAAATCTATGAATGTAAGGAATGCGGAAAAACTTTTAATCGGGGCTCAAGCCTGGTTATACATCAGAGAACTCATTCAGGAAAGAAACCATATGTATGTAACGAATGTGGAAAAGACTTTAATCAAAGTTCAAATCTTATTATACATCAGAGAATTCATACAGGAAAGAAGCCTTATATATGTCATGAATGTGGGAAGGACTTCAATCAGAGCTCTAATCTGGTTAGACATAAGAGAACTCACAGCGGTGAGAATCCCTATGAATGTAAAGAGTGTGGGAAGGCCTTCAAGGGAAGCTCAAACCTTGTCCTACACCAGAGAATTCATAGCGGAGGGAAGCCTTATATATGTAATGAATGTGGGAAGGCCTTCAATCAAAGCTCAGATCTTATAATACATCACAGAATTCACACAGGAGAGAAACCCTATGAATGTAATGAATGTGGACAAGCCTTCAGCCAGAGTTCACACCTTGTCACACATCAGCGAATTCATACTGGAGAGAAACCCTTCAAGTGTAATGAATGTGAAAAGGCCTTCCAACAGCGTTCATGCCTTACTGAACACCAGAGACTCCACAGTGGAGAGAAACCTCATGAATGTCGTAAATGTGGGAAATCCTTCAGTGGGCGCACAGCTTTTCTTAAACATCAGAGACTGCATACTGGAAAGGAACTTGAATGTGAAAAAGCCTGTACTTCTGAGTTGGACCTTATCAAACAACAGAGAATACATAGGGAAGAAAAACCATATGAATGTACTGAGTGTGGTAAAACTTTCCGGGGAAGTTCAGATCTAATTCGGCACTGGATAATTCATACTGGAGAGAAACCGTATGAATGTAGTGAATGTGGGAAAGCCTTTAGCCAGAGGTCTCACCTTGTTACACATCAGAAAATTCACACTGGAGAGAAGCCCTATCAGTGCAAAGAATGTGGGAAAGCCTTTTGGCAGCGTTCACTCCTCATTCAACATCAGAGGATCCACAGTGGGGAGAAACCCTATGAATGTAAGGAATGTGGAAAATCCTTCATCTGGCACACAGCTTTTCTCAAACATCAAAGACTTCATACTGGAGAGAAACTTGAAGGTGAGAAAACATTCAGCAAGGATGAGTTGTTTAAAGGAGAGCAGAGAATTCACTATGAAGAAAATGCTTGTCCAGGAAATCAGTGTGATAGAACTTTCCGGAACAGCTCAGACCTCATCACACATCAAGTCACTTATGCCAGAGAGAAACCATATGAATGTAAAGAATGTGGAAAAACCTTCAGTCAGAGCTCAGACCTTATGAGACATCACAGAATTCACAGTGGTGAAAAACCTTATGTATGCACTAAATGTGGGAAACCTTTTAGGGGAAGCTCAGATCTTATTAAACACCATCGTGTTCACACTGGAGAGAAACCTTATGAATGCCCTGAATGTGGAAAAGCCTTCAGTCAGAACTCACATCTTGTTAGTCACCAGAGAATTCATACTGGAGAGAAACCCTTTGAATGCAGTAACTGTGGAAAGGCCTTCAGTGGGCACACAGACTTTCTTAAACATCAGAAACTTCATCCTGGACAGGAACTTGGGGAATGTGAGAGGGTCTTCACACAGGACTTATTCTAACAGGTTGCACAACCTAATGAATGTAGGAAAAGCCTGGTGGAGATCACATCTTATTGCACTATAGAGGATTCTTATTATTGAAAACCACTTGAAAAAAGGAAAACATTACAAGAGTCCTAGTGGATGGAAAACATGTAAGTGTAGTCAGGTGGAAAAGTTCTTGGACATAAAATAACCTTTTTTCTGCCTCAGAACTACATTGGAGTATGGTCCCCAGCATATAATTACTTGACAGTGTTTTAGGCAACTTCTATTGTTACTAAATCATTATAAATAACTTTGGCAACACCCAAAACTAAATTCTCCGTAAAAGGAGCCCTTTAAATATTGACTACCGAGTCCAGTGACCAGTAAAAATCTTAAGTACTTTAATGTGATTAAATCTTTCTCTGGGATGAATTCTTCCCCTTAGGTAGGTGTTTTACACATTCTTTTTTTTTCCATCCTTATAAAAATATGTTTATACATATGCAAAAATACTAATTAGAATGAACCACTAATTGAGAAGAAACCAAAAAAATAATAGAAATGACGAGATAGCTGAAGGCCAGGAGGAGACAAGAGCCACAGGAGGAGTTTCCCCAGAGAAACAGGAGTGACTACTAGTAGTATCAGGAAATGAAAGGCCAAGGGACAGGAGAACAGTAGGTTTGGGGACTAGGATAAGACTGAGTACTGGGACCGAGCATTTAGGTGACATGGGTTGCTGGGAATTCAAAGAAAGCATCTACTATGAAAGGTCAGTTGATTATAGGGGAAGTGGTTTTGTCTTGAACCAGGACTTTGTATGTAATTGGGCACAGCTTATTTGAGAATGGGGGAATCTAAATAGAACTCTGAAGAGAGGTCATCGTTTAAGCTGCCAACTAATTTGGTAATTAGGCCCTGCCTCTGGGCAAACTCGGTCCTTAAATATTTCTTATATTTTGAACTACTGGCAGATTGCATCTGAATTTCCATGAGTCATCAGATAAGAAAGCTACTGAGAGAACCATGTAAGGCAAGGAGAATTTCGACCTCATATCTTTCCTCAGTGGGAGTAGCTTGTGAAATGCATAGAAGGGATCAGTGGTTCACAATGGGATGGTTTTGCCTCCTGGGGACATTTGGCAATGTCCAGAGACATTTTGGTTGTCACAACTTGAAGAAAATGTTGACTATCTAAAGTCCAGGGATGTTTTAAATATCTTAAAATATACAGCCCTACACCCCTCCCAAACAAAAAATTACCTGATCTCAAGTGTCACTAGTGCCATCCTTGAGGAACCCTGCCCATGGCTATTTAGAACACCAGTCACCTGGGGCCATTTAAGCGAGCATTTCAGTGTCATGTGGGCAGTGTCCCAGGGGAATTCATAGAAACCTTTAATTTAATTAGGAGGAAATCTAGTATGGAGGGAGCACAGACATGGGTTTGAATCCCCATATGATGTATTGGTTTCAGGACTCGAGCAAACTATGTAACCCCTCTGATCTTTATTTTCCTTATTAATAAAGCAGTGATAAAGTAATCCACCTCATGGACTAATTATGAGTTGTTTTTTTAAAATATTTTATTGATTATGCTATTACAGTTGTCCCATCTTTTTCTCCCCTTTATTCCCCTTCATCCTGCACCCTCCCTTCCACTGGCATTGCCCCCCTCCCTTTGTTCACACCATGGATCATACTTATAAGTTCTTCGGCTTCTCCATTTCTTATGCTATTCTTAACCTCCCCTGTCTATTTTGTACCTACCCATTACTCTTCTGATTCGCTATACCATTTCCTCCATCCTCCCCTGCCAACCCAATTGTGAGTTTTAAATGAGAAACTGAAATTTGCTGTTGACACACAGAAAACCATCTAGAGCTCTAATCATTTTAAAACAAAGTATTTACAAGCAAAACATAACATGTAAGATACAGTGCTGTCTTGTAACTGGTATAAAGAATATGACCTATTAAAGTTCAAGGCTCTGGGGGGCTGTAGCATCCTCAGAGGGGCACTCTGAACATTAGTGGGATGTCTTGAAGTGGAGAAGCCCACTTACACCATCCCACACCATCCCAAAAGCTGGCTGCTTGTGGATGGTGATACAGAGCATGCCTACCCCCATCACTGTCTCAAATGTTAAAGCTCTTTAATAATCTCACATAAATTAATATTCTTTTTATATCAGAATGTCTTTAAATATATTTAGGAAGCAAAAGGATTTCAAAATGGCTATTGTCAGTGATATACCTGGATTAAAAATTAAAGATACTTAACATTTTTTAGTTATCCTAGATTCTAACTAATCAAAACCTTTAGCTAACTGGGACATTTTAGCATTCTTTTTTTTCTTTATGTAAATAAAGGGAATTGGGAACTTATTCTTATAAACCCATCTCTGTGTCCTTTATACAGTGAGAATGATGTTTATAAGGATAGGCAGGATATTGAAAGGGACCTTAAATAGCTAAAGACCTAAACTCCAAGTCTTTTTGAGGAACAGGTGATTAGAATGTGGACTAAGAGACATTCCTCCATATAAATATTTCATAGGAAACAACACTGTTACTACAGCCTTGGGGAAAGAGCATATCAGTACAGTAGAGGAAGGGAGTGTTGCCCAATAATCTTCCAATTTGGTCCATTTTTCTCAATTTTTCATGCCCTTAGAGTGAGGCCACCATTATCATCTCTTACTTATGTTATTACCACAACCTTCTGACATGCCTCCTGCTTCCACTTTTCTACAGAGCAGCCTGAGTGTCCTTTCTTTAGAACAAATCTGATAGAGCCACCCATCCCCAAACTTCTGTAGAGCTTTCCCACTAACTTGAGCCTGAAGCCCAGTCCTTACAGTGATATATGTGTTCTGATCCAGCCCCATTCATCCTCTCACTTAGTAAATATTTATTGAGCTTCTAATATGTGTCAGGTATGGGGTGGGGGTACAAAGAGGGGGGAGCAGAAATAGACAACAGTCTCTGCCCTGGTGGAGCAGAGGCGAGATTAATTAGGATCATAAGTAAAATTACAACCATGGTAAGTGCCAAAAAGGAAAGGCATGAGAGTGCAGTGGGAGATAGTTGGGGAGGCCTTTCTGCAAAGTGCTTACCTTCCTAAATCCAACAGTTACCTCTGAACTATCTGTAGCTCCCCAAGAACCTAGACACTGCCCTGTTACCCTATGGCCTTTCCACAAGCTGTTCCCTTTGCCGGGAATGCTCCCTCCCTCCTTACCTAGCTCCTTTCTTTTTTTCAGTATTTCCTATGTGTTGGGTACTGTGATAAGGACTTAACACTCATTTTCTCTTGCATTCTTTGTCTCTGTCTTAATTGGTGAATACTACTGTTTTCTAAACAGGAAACTAAGATCAGAAAGGCAAAATAATTTGCCCAGTGAGTCAAAACTAATAAATAAACTGGAATTCAAATCCAGGCCTGCCTGACTCCAAAGCCCATTTCCTTTGGCACTGCTGTGTTGCCTCCCAGTTCCTTCATGTTGGCCTCATTTACTCTGGTCATCTTCCCTGATGTACACCCAGTCAGGGTTAAGTTCTTCCACTGTGCTCCCAGATGCCACAGCCATCATAGCACAGACATTGATAGATTTGTCGCTCCACTAGACAGAGCTCCACCGGGAAGGGACTGGGTCTTTCTGGTCTTTGCAGGTCCAGTGACTCCAGGACCAAGCCTCAGACACTAGGACAGACAATGGTTCATGTGGGCAGAAGTGTGACCCCTCTCTGGGCTGGTCTAGAAGAGGGGAGGACTCTACTGGGTGGCCATTCCACACGTTAACCAGGGAGGCTGCAGGGGTGAGAGGGCCTGGCTGCCAGCTTTCACTGTAGCCTGGCTCCCACTCAGACTGGACAATGGCTACAGTTCCATGGGAAGTTCTGAGTGACAGGGTGATATGCCACAAGTGTTACACCAACCATCTGCACCCCAAAAGAAGATCAAATAAAGCCCCTGCACTGCCTCCTCAGCAGTGCAGCCGACCTCCTGTCCAAACCTGGTGGCCCTGGGGCCTCAGTAAAGTCTCCCTTTTGTTGCCTGGAGCAGTTAAAAAAATGAATGAATGAATGCAACCTGTGAATACCTCATATTTGAGTAAATGGAATAGCAGATCAATTCCCTCAGCTAAAGAAAAGTTTTGGTTCACCCTTTTAACATTTTACCTGTGCCCATGTCACATAAAGGGGTACTACTTAGATTAGATGGTTGATATAGGGCTTTAATGCCATCACCATCATTTTGGGGGATAAAGGATTTGCAGAGCAAAGTAAAGGACAGCAAAGACCTCATGATGCTATACCTTCAGTGAATTAAATTTGTGATACCCAAGTCATTGTTTACAACCTCTTATTTGTTGAATTCATTCATTTATTAATTGTTGAGTGGCAACCCTGGTCTGAATGTGGCCTGTTCTTCCTCCGGGTCAGCCCTGTCCTGAAGAAGCAGGACAAACTTAGATGACACAAAGGCATTTCCAGTCTAGTGACCTCAGGAAAGAAGAAAACTCAGGGAAAAGGTTCGGGTCAGAATGAAGGTGTCCTACAGTCAGTAAATCCCAGATCAATGTGCACTATGGGTGCTCTGATGCTGAAGTTGTCCACATTGATATTCAAAGGGCCTCTCCATGTAAATTTTCTGTGAACTCCAAGGTGGAAATTCCATCTTGGGGTTGAATTCATTACAACAATAGGGTTGCTTAGCAGCATGAACACTCTGATGCAGAGAAACTCTGAACTCCACCTGAAGACTTCTCCACGCAAGGGCATGAAGATCTCCCAGCTCTTTACCACATTCACTGCACTCTTGGATCCCCCCTCCCCCACTTGGAAGTCAATGGAGTAGAATGTGGACTACAGTCCTACTGTAACTAAGGGCCCTCACCATCCCCACCCACAGCCCAGTTTAGAGAATGCCAGATATAACCAGTAGATCAAAGGCATAGAAGCATTTTGCTCTGTTCTTGATGAATTTTCTGGGTGATATGCCCAGGAGCTGTCCCAGACCTCTGCCACTCCAACATATAACCACCCTTCTCAGCAAAAGGCCTCAAGTGATGGACCCTGCTGGCCTTGGCCCTTATCGCCTTCATATCTATTGTCTTAATTTCTCCAGCAGCCTCAGAGGACAGTGCCTTCCTTCTCCCTTCTTTCTAAAGCCAACCCTGCCTTATTGAGTTTATCCTTTCACTCCGCAATTAAATTAAATTTTAAAAACTAGTTATTAAAAGAGTATCTTAATAGACTTAGCTGGAAGTCTGAAATAACCTAGGCCAAGCAAGGATCCCCTAAGTATCTGCAGACTGGCTTTTGAATCCCACCCTGGGGTGGGAAACATTTTCACAAACTACAGATCACTTGGGGCTGAGACAAAGGCCCAGGTCCTGGGTCATCATATCCAGAACTCGAAAGTAGGATTCAGCTGGTGCACCACAGCCAGCCCACCCTGGGACCCCGGGCTTTAACATCCTTACCTCATTGGTCACCAGTAAAAGGCACAGCAGGATCTCAACTAACTGTCACCCCCAGGCCCTCAAGTCCCGCCCCGGGGCCAGCAGAGGTCTCGCACAAAAGTGGGAGTCCTGGCTTCCTAGACCAACCACAGAGACAGGGGTCAGTCCCTCTCTCTTGCTGGGTGGGACTCCTACCTCTTCATGCCAGAAGCTGAGTGGAGGCCAAGTACATTTGGTGACTCCTTGGAGATTTGGCGGGTACTGGCAAAGTTGAGTCCACCAGGTGAAAACACTGCCTGCAAAGCGTGTTACAATCAAGTTAAAAAAAAAAAAATCTGTTCTCGCCGGGGTACTGCCGGAGACAGTGGAGTTGCAGCCGAGTCCCCATGCAAAGTAGCATGTTGGGAGATGACATGGGGAGGGAGTGAACTCGGGTTCTGGGACTTACGAAGGGCTCCCTGGGTCTCAGGCTGTTGCCCTCCTTCCCTTCTGTGCACTCTTCCCAGCTCTGAGAGCTTGGGGAGAGGCAGACGACCCTCTGCTTGTTGGGATGACCAAGCTTTCTTCTGCTCCGCAGAGCTGACCGCTAGGGTTGCTTGAGTCCCCACCAGCCTCTCAGTGCTTAGACCCAGGCCCAGAACAAGTCCTACTGCATCGCAGATGCTCAACAAGTGGCTGGTGAATGTGGACTCGCCCGCATTATTACCAGAATTGTCCTTGCCCCTCCCCACTGGATTTTACTGAGGCTCCAGCTCCCATCCCTTTTCAGGGGCTCACCTGGGCAGGTCGTTTTCATACAGCTTTATCCCAAAAGCTGAGGGGATGTGGTGAGGTAAAGGTTATTGGGGTTACTTGGTAATTTTTTTTAAAGGTGAAAGTGTGCTTTTCAGGAATTTGTGAAGGTCTACAGGGTCCAAGGACGGGTTTCTCATGGTCCATGAATTCCCTGAAACCGCATGTACATTTTTCTAGGCAGAGCTTCCTTGAGTCTCAAAGATCTCTGACCCCACAACCTTAGAGGCCTGCCTTCAACCAGGAGTCACTTAGAAAACATTTTTTAAAGTATCTTA